ATATAACACTAAGAACTACAGACCAGTAGCTCTACTATCGGCAACGTTCAAGCAACTAGAACTAGAACCAGAATTAGTCCAAAGCTACTTGAATCAATACCCGTTGATCAGGCAGGTTTCCAAGCAAAAAAAGCTGTGCAGATCAGGTTCTTTCACTCACCACATTTATTAAGACAGGAATCCAGAGAAAACTTAAAACTGCAGCGGCATTCATAGACCTAACAGCGGCCCACGATACAGTCTGGAGAGAAGGAATGATACTCCTCAATAAGTACCCCAAGAAAACTGAAGAATGGACTGCCTTAGGGATCTGTCCTAGCTCCTCTTCTCTTTAGCCTGTACATCGCTGATATACCAGAAACCAGATCAAGGAAGTTTGGTAACGCGGACGATTGGGTCCTTGCAACAAGGTGTAAGTCATTTGAACAAACAAAAAAATCTTCACGACGGACTTACACACAGTGGGAAAGTATTTCCGTAAATGGAGGCTCCAAACAAACGCTACCAAAACAGAGGTTTCCAGTTTTCACCTAAATAACAAGCTTACAGGAAGAACACTCAACATCCAATTCGAAAACACCACACTCGCCTACAATATAACACCAAAGTACCTTGGGGTGACTGTTGACAGGACCCTATATTTCAAGGAACATCTGTCAAAAACAGCGGAAAAACTTAAATCTAGAAACAACATCATCCAGAAGCTGTGCAGCACAACATGGGGAGCATCGGCTTCCACCTTGCGATCATCTGCCGTGGGCCTTGTCTTCTCCACCGCGGAATACTGCTCTTTAGCCTGGCTTAACAGTCCACAATACAAAGTAGATGCCCAATTGAACAACACAATGAGAATTAGTACCGAGATCCTGCCAATCAATCAAGACATAGATACTGCCAACGATTTACGCCCCAGATAACCAGACAATAAAAACAGCACAGGCTGCTGTGGATTCACAGACTCGAGAATGGATGGAACAACAGAATAGCAGCTTACCCTGCATCATACAAAAACCACCAGGTTTAGACTGACCACGCAACATATGGACCATGCTGAACCGAATCAGAACCCAACACGGCAGATGCAGTTACATGATGCACAAATGAGGTAAACGACCATCCCCACTCTGTGACTGCGAACAACCTCAAACCATCTGTCACATAAGTACGAAAATCTAAACGTAGGCAGACAACTTTAGTAAACAGATAATTTGGAATAATCATGTTTAGTTTCACCGCGAAAATGTTTTCGATTCGTGAGTGCCATGATATGTTGATTATTTATGGAGAAGCGCAGTGTAACAGTAATTTAGCTGTCCAAATGTATGTGCATTGGTATCCGAAAGGCGAACTTCTAGTGCTCGAACTTTTATTGATATTTCTCAAAGATTATTAGAAACGGGTTCGAAAAACAAAAATAGGGGAAGAACAGGAAGTATCTGTCGTTAATGTTAATCATAGAACATTTTGGGAACATCATGCTTTCATTTTTATTAGTAAATAAAATGAGATAACCTACTTGTTAATTATTTTCGATATTTGATAACTTAATGACGGTAAAAACATATTTATTAATTTTATTTAATACTTTTAGGATTACCAATTTGTAGTAACTGCTAAAGACGGTGCCACAGATCCCAGAATTGCAACTGCCACAGTTTCTGTGGAAGTTCTTGATGTTGAAGATGAAGTTCCAATTTTTGAAGTTCCTGTTTACGAAGCTACTGTTCCCGAAAATATGCCAGACTATTATGTTACAACGGTTAAGGTAATATATCAACATGCAAAATTAACACAATTTTTTTGTCAAAGTACGCTGATTATGAAAGACTTACCGCCTTTCGCCTCTCAACGATTCACTTGCATTATAAACGATTTTCAAATTATTTAATGCTCGTCGAAATTTATAATATACTAATTATTCTGTTGTATTTTTATTTATTCTAATTTATTGTTTTTATTTCCTTATTTTAATTCACTAAAACACAATAATTTATATAAATTTATTAAACCACTATACGACAATTTATTTTCGACTAATAATTACATAATTTATTTGTAAAACAGGCGTTACATTTAAACTCGGCGCGCTATTTTTCTGACTAGTTGTTTTCTACAAAAAGGTTCGTTTTATATACGTGCCGTTATTCGAGAGTTCAGGCGATTCCCTTTTGACTAGACTAGAAGGTCAATCGGATGGATCTTCATTTGACCGGTTTCTGGAACCTTCGAATCGTAGGGGACCGACCGTTTCAGGTAGATATTACCTGGAATTTCTGCCAGCTAATAAAATCTAGAACATAAATGAGAATTAAAATATTTACGAGACATATTCCTCTTCTTTCAGTACCCTGTCCAAATATCGAACATTGGCGATCATATTGACAATAACAACTTTGTTTACGGCGGCTCTAAACAAATTAGCGATGATCTCTCGATACCGTTATCGGATATTTCGGAGCCAGGATGTTTTTCTTCGGCCTGGCCCCTTCTTCCGGCGATCTTACCCTGTATTATGAGGTGTAGAAGGTTATACTTCTCTGGATGTCTCATTACATGACCGAAATATTGTAACTTTCGAATTTTTATCTTTTTTTTTATTTTTGTGCTCTTTTTCATTCGATGTAAAACTATTTATACATCCTAAATAATTATTTATATATCCTTAATATATCCTTGCCTCACTCCACGTCGTGTTGTGTCCAATTCGTATGTTTACACATTGATGCCAATACAAATTTTTGATAATACGGAGGTTTCGGTCATCAATTCCCACCTGTTACAAGACACCTGTAAGTTTGTCATGGTTTACTCTGTCAAAGGCCTCTTCAAAGTCGATAAAACATACATATACCAATTGTTCGATATTCCTACATCTTTGAACCGTGACCTGCAAACTGAAAACTGCTTCTCTGGTTCTAAGGTTGTTTCTGAAACCAAATTGTGTTTCAAATTGTAAATTCTCGGGTGCAGTATTCTTAGGAAAGTTTTCATTACATGACTCATCAGACTGATAGAATCTAGTGCGATGATTGCTACACTTATTTATTTGGCATTTATTTTTTTATTTATTTTTTTTAGTTTCATTACAAATGTTGTCAGTAGCCGGTCTGTTTTTATATGTCCTGTTTCGTATATTTTATTGAGGACGCTTAGAAGAGAATGTTTACCCTATTGTCGGAGTACTTTGATTATTTCGCTTGTAATTTCACCTGGACCGGTTGCTTTCCTATTTTTGATAGCTTTATAGCTCTTTCCATTTCATCAAGTGTTATTTTTGGACCAGTCGATATATTTTTTTATATATTTTTATATTACGTAGCCCAAATTAAGCTCTTGTAATTTCTGCTTCCAATATACGCAACCTTAACCTAACTTAACCTTACTTAACCTATTATCATCGACTACTTCTTGTTTTCATTCAATTTTTACCAAGTTCAGTCTCCTAATGAAAATTTTATATAACAACAATACAAATTGATTCTTGTGTTATATAACACGTTTATTTGCATTTGTATGATCATTTATTGATTATTATACCACCATTTTATTTTTGTGATATATTTTATGTTTTCAGGCAATCGATCCAGACACTATCAAGAAGATCACCTACGTCATTCATCAAGGACCTACAGATCTTTTCCGAATAGAAGAAAACACAGGAGCTATATTTACAACGAGGGCTTGATTACGAAAAAGAAAACCAGCATATACTTATTATTGGTACTTTGGAAAATATGTCAAATAATAATGGAAGTACTACAAAAGTTATCGTAAACGTTGAGGTAAGTTGAGCTTTTGTTTAAAACTGACCAGATCAGTGAATAATATTTAAGTTTTCGCTAAATATTTAGCCGTCCATCGTCGAATGTAAGCCCTTCTTAGATTCGTTATTTGTTTCTATTGGCTATTTTTTGTATTCATTCGTGAACAGCAAATTCCTGTCATAATCAACTGCCCTTTTATAATTTATCATTATGATCCAAAGTGTTATTTTGTATTTGATCGATTTTTCAAATAATGTTTTTATAACTTATTACTCTCTAAGTAATGCCTGGTCCAGAGATTGTAGCCATCCAGTTTGTTTGTTAACTGCACTGTGATTATCCACAACAGAAGCCGGAGACAGAATCATTCTGTCTCCGCTTCTATACAATATGTAGCTTCTCCATATAAATTTTAAAGTGTTTGTTTGTCTTAGTGTATTGTATTTTGTATTGTTATGTCCAAATTTTACATTTATGATATTCTACTATGTCGGATAGGCCACAATTGACGAAATGCCCCTGAAGATGATCTATTGATCGAAAGTACTTGGGCAAGATTAAATTAATCACCGTGTTCAATAGTTGCCTTGTATACCCTCAAAGTTTAACTAAAAATAAAATCATATCATAAGAAAACCAATATTTTATATCTCGTCATTAGATTATGAATGAGAAATACTTATATGAAAATAAAATTATACTTTATCCCAAATTTTGCAATTCGTTCAAATAAAAGAATCTTATTATATAAGAGATATTTATGTAATTAAAAGACCAATAATAAATCACATCACTATTATTTAGTTCATAGATAAATCTTTACTGTTTAATAAAAAAATATAATTGGTACAACCTGAATTAAGCTAAGCAAACGGTATATTCCACGAAAGGCACTTCTACGAAGTTGAAGGTAAAATTCGATAAGGCTGCCATAAGATTAGCTGTTATGTAAGAGACTGAATGTTAGGCTTTAGTTCAGCGTGTTTTTCTGCTTGTTATAATTTATTTTGTTATATTTATAGAAGCTAATATAATTTGTATTTTAAGGATCGAAACGATATTCCTCCCGTATCACAATAATCCCCACATCCCATAACGTTAGAAGACGATGTCCCAATTGGTACAGTTGTTACTACTCTTGTAGCTACTGATTCTGACGGAACAGCTCCTGGAAATAAGGTAAGCTTCATAACATTATCTGTTTTAAAATAACTATAACAAATACTTTTGTTTTAGGTTAGATACGAAATAGTTGGAAGAGGAAAAGCGGCAAAGTACTTCCAAATTGACCCTGACACAGGTGTATTAAAAGTAACCAATGATTTGAAAAAAGAAATTGACACAGAGTATCAGGTGATTAATATCCATTTTTAATAATTGTTTAACAAATACTGTTTATATAAAAATTATTGAGGTTTAATAATTAGAATGATAACGAAAAAAAATGGAATATTTGATTGTGATTAAAATTGGCAGTTAATTAAAAATAACAACAGTACCTGGCGTAAGTCGTTAGTGTTATCTGTACGATGAAATAAATCACTTACCATTTGTTAAAGTGTGCTAATCATCAGGGTAGAAAAATAGTGTCTGAGCCTTTTGGTGGTTAGAAAATCGAAATTAAACTGGAGAGACAAATAGATTTTTATTTTTGAAATTTCATCAAATTCAACAATTTAAATACCAAGAAATATTAGAATTTTTGAATTCTAATTTTTGAAGTATTGCAGGTTTTAATTTTTTTGTTTTCTATTTTAGGTTGACGTAAGGGCTTTTGACTTGGGCGATCCTCAATTATCATCAGTTATTACGGTTTGACGTTTATATTCAACATGTAGCCACAGTGGCGCCGGAAGTGGGTCTCAGATTTGCTGATTCTTCGTACAGTTTGCAAGTTCCTGAGAATGCTACAGTTGGATATAAAATAAAAACTCTTACTATCGTTAATAGTAAAACGCATGGAGCAAACATACCCCTCAAGTGTCAAATTATTTCTGGAAATAAGGAAGGTAATCTATAATTTTCTTATTTTGTATTTTACTTAATTCTGATAAGATTTTATATAAATCAAATGCAGTGCTTTCATTTTTTAATTAGTCTTATTATATGTAGGGTAATTATATATGGAGATAAATTCAAAAAATATTAAGGAAAATAAGGGATATAGTGCTGGTAGCCACAATAACAGTGGAAATAATGGCAATGACATAAATAATTTGTTAGCACATAGTCAAAAGTAACAGAAGCATTATGAATTAAATGAATTTCAGTGAATTATAGTAAACAGATTATAAATCGCTTACTCGATTTGCATTTGGTGTGCAAAATGTGCCGCTTTTTGTGTCTCGCCTTAATCTTCGCATATTATAACATATTATATCTGCATAGACTGCTACGTTGCCGCATTGGAAAAAATGCATGAAATCAACTTAAAAATGTGATGGCGTAAACAGTTTTTTCGTCACATGTACTCTTTACTTTCCTCTATTTATTGTATGCCGATAAAATGTTTTATGTCCGTTTACCTATAAATAATCATATTAATTTCAGGAAAGTTCTTCATAAATGTAACAGAAGATAGAAATTGTGCCATTTACCTCAATGATACTCTCGACTACGAAACTCAAGAAACCTATCATTTTGAAGTAGAAATAATGTCTCTAAAGGGCTTCATCAATAAGGAATTCGCCATTGCCCAGATCACCGTCAATGTCATCGACGTCAATGACAACAAACCATTTTTCATTTACACTTCACCAGAACTAGAAAAATACTACGCTGCGATTCCATATACCTCTCCGATAGCTTCTACTGTCACGCAAATAAAGGCAGATGACAAGGATAGTGGAAAATTCGGGAAGATTAAGTACTCTCTGTCGGGAAATTTTAGTGATGAGCTGATTTAGTATAGACTCTTCCAGTGGACTAGTACAAACTAAGAAGTCATTTGAGAATTTTGACGATTCTTTGTTGCCCATCAGGTATGAAACCATTATTAAAAATAATTTTTTTATATTAATAAAAGCAGTTTCAAAAGTTCTTCATTGCACGATTTTAATAAAAGTAATTGGTCGGTAGGTGTAATTTTGCTTCTGCAATTGAATCGGATATTTCGAAAAGGCCCCACAACTCCAGAATGTTAATTTTACAGGAAACGAAAAAAACGTTTCATTTTGGTATTAATGAAGATATCTTTCTGTTTTTGGAGTAAAGTCTCAAAATGTAATGCATGACGAAGTTACATTAACAAATCCAACATAAAAAGACATAGATACACTGAAAAAAAATAATTTAGTTTTTGAAGTTATGGCCTTTTCCAAACAAACACTGATTTTATTATTAATAATAGAAAACTCCAATATTATTCAGGAAAAAATTTATTAGGTGGCAAAAAAACATGTTGAAGGTTTAGAAATAGTCTTTTAGTAATCTTGTATATAATCCATGGAGCAGGGGCGGCTCGTGATAGTACAAGATGGTGAGGCACACTACACTTAAGGAAAATTATTATTATTATGGTTAGCTTCTCTTTGCTCCAGTCATACCCGGCTAAGGAGGCATTGCTCGCGCCAGCAAACAATGACTTGGCGTGAGAAGGACTTCTGACGATACGCGCGCGGATCAACAAAAGTCATCCTCACCTCAAAGCTCTCCTAAGCCCTCCTCCACCCTCCCTTATGTGCACTGAAGTGCAACATAAGGGCTGACTGCTTTTTGAAAAAGTCCGCGATTGAGCTGTATTTATGAGCACCATGTGTAATAGGGTGCTCATAAATGTAACTTAAATCATACCCAAGGTGTCGTTAAGCGACTTACTCCCGTTTATCATGAAATCTCATATCGTGAGATAAAAGCGAACAAACAACGAGGGAGCTGTAATCCTTGAGCCTACACCTTGGTTAGCGCCAAGTTGTAGCCTCAAGGATCTAGGTGGCTTCTCCCGTGGCCGTTTTTTATTTTTATAATTTTTTGTGAATTTTTTATTATTTTATATTTTTTTTTTGAATGTTATATTTTTTATTAATTTTTTTTGGGATTTTTATATTTTTTTGGGGTTAGTAGGTATTTTTTATCTGGGAGATTTGTTAGTAAGTGTTATAAATGGCGACTGCTAATCTAGTGCCATCTTCTTCACGCTCTCACATATCCCTTCAGTTGAAGCTTCGGTCTAGCATATCTCCATTGATCGTTCTCGTCGTAAGATGTTAGCCGGAAGGTCGATTTGTGACATCATAACGTGAGGCCGTTTACGTTAAATAAACTTAAACAAAGGGTTAAATTTGGATAATTCACTTTTTAGTTGATTTATATCAAAAATATTATACTGCGTTGTCAAGTGTTTTCATAGATCATGAGGAAATTCTTTAGCTAAAATGGGAAATTTTGATATATTCAACAGATCAAAGAAATGTAATTTTTCAACGTCGCAAAACCTAACCTCTATTTGGGTTGCATATAATGTCAAGAATTTCAAAAAAAAATTTGCCTTAATTGTTGAGTTTTATCAGTCATTTCAACTCCCTTACGATGACGTTTCGAGTGTAACGCAGCGGTATCCAGTTTTTCATTAAATTGTATCAAAATAAGTACTGTTACTCCTAAATTCACGTATTTTACTTAGGGTATTTTGCAGTAAATTTCTGGTCTTAACAATGTCTGTATTTCTATTTTGTAGAATGGAAAAAACAGTATCAGTTTGACGAAAAATCAACGAAAATATCTCTATCAAGATCTCAAGTAATTTATCCTTATTATTATTAACTGTGAGAAACTACGCGTGAAGTAAAATTCCAGCGAGTTGCTACATTAGAAGGTATACGATTTTCCTCCAATGTGTTCTAACTCTTGGTACGCTTTGTACATTTAGAAAAATATAAAGAAAAACCGGATAAGGTTGAGAAAAAAACTTTAACTTGTTGAATTGAACTGCATGCGTTACTTAAAACTAAATTAAATACATGTGCATAGCAATGAATGAACATGGCTTGAGGCGCTATAGATGCTGTGCTCGGTGCTAAATCCATTTTCACTAAAACCGAAAATCCTGCAGACAAAAACAAACCCACCAAAATTATTAAAAAAACTTAATTAGAATTGCACTTATTATATAACATGTAATCTTACTGTTTTTTTAATGAAAAACAACACGAGATACATCAAACGTGATCCTGCCGCACCAACAGGTCAACAGGAAGTAATTTAACTACTACTTACTACAACAATTTTGCAGAAATGTTCCATAATGTACCAATGTTGCCAATCTGGTAAATGCATAGAAAAAAAATATTTTTTGTTAAATCGGAAAACAATAGAACAATATGTATAGTACCATCTACTAAAGGAAAATACTCCAATGTTGTTACAATTTTCAAATAAAAATCTATGTTTTATTTAAAATGTACTTTTATACCCCGAGGGAAAAATGTAGCGAATTGGGTACCTTTGTACCCAAACGGCAACGCTGCTAATTAAAAGAACTACACCAACGAGAGCGGCATGCCTCTCCTGTTCGGTGAAATAGTGGGCAGAAAATAAATAAATCATGTTCAATTTCGCTACATAATATGTTGTCTAATATGCCAGACAGAGCAATGCCGTGAGGCTTGCTCGGCTATAATTTTTAAAGAGAGAATGAGATGCACAGATGATATACCAGCTGCTGGCGCGGATAATGGAGCCGTTGTTTATTTAATATTTTGTGTTTAAGCTTGTCCCTTGTCCGGCCCGTAGATTATGAAGAAATATACAAAGATAAGACATCAGGGGTGTACATATTTTAATTTTTTATCATAATGAAAATAAAGTTATTTAGAAAATTCCAAAAAGTTAAATTGTAGTTAAAGAACGTAAATACGTAAATAGTCGATTGATACTGGTGAGGCACTGCCTCACCTGCCTCATAGGACCAGCCGCCCCTGCCATGGAGATTCCTAGTATCTCGTCCGTCTCTGAAGAAAGTTTGTTAATATGCTCTAGTTTTTTTATAAAACTTCTTAGCCCTATTTTTGTGAACTAATAGTTCTGCAACAGCAACTTCTTTTGTAATGTCGTTGAAAGTGGTACTTTTAAGTTTCTGGCCAAGTTCTTCACAAGCAGAACATACATCAATTTGAGGAAGACCAAAAGAGTATGTAAAATTTTTATGAAAATACTTTAAATAAAAACTGTATTTCACTTTAGATTCTGCAAATTTTTCGATAAACATTTTATGCATTTGTTTGACATCCAAAGTAGCAGGAGTAATAATATTTCAGTAATAATATTTCATTGTGTTTAATAATACATTTATTTAAACATACTTTCTTAACAAACTCTGCAAAAATCCACAATATCCAAAAAGCCCTGTTCTAACAATGATGTTGACAAGAAGTGACAACTGACAAAGAATCTCCATACATTGTGCCTAGAGCCCCGTGACCATAATCATAACCTACTGATATGACATCTTTCCCCTTACATTTGATAATCCTTAAAACGCACTGGAGCCCTTTTGAGTCTAGCGCTAGTTCTATTTTCAACATTCGTTTGGGAGGTTGAAGGTTCCTCTACTCCACAACTCTGATTCCCAGATGAGGAGTTTAATGATCTATCATTATGTGCAAAATCAGTATTCTTTTTAATTTCCGCTTTAACTAGGGAAGGCCTTAAGTGATCTGTTTCGCCTGATCACTTCCCCATTTTCTTTCTGCACTAAATAAGATCTGGGTGTCTCATCTACTTTTTCCAGAACTTTACCTGGTCTCCATTCTCTACCCTCTCTGACTTCTACATTCTCTCCTGGCACTATTTCTCTTCTTACCTTGGTTGGCGAAAATCAGATTCCCTTTGGGAGCGTAGGTTCGAATCCTACTGACTGCGCCAAGTAATAATATTTCAGTAATAATATTTCATTGTGTTAATAATACATTTATTTAAACATACTTTCTTAACAAACTCTGCACGAATCCACAATATCCAAAAAGCCCTGTTCTAACAATGATGTTGACAAGTAGTGACAACTGACAAAGAGTCTCCATACATTGTGCCTAGAGCCCCGTGACCATAATCATAACCTACTGATATGACAGCAGGTAAATATTTTTTAATATATTAGCATAATAGACTTCCTTTACATCAAACGATTGTATGTGCTCACGTCTTTGAAATAACAATTATTCATCTGGTATTAAATTATTTGAGTTACTAGTAGGTAGCATAATCTTCTGACATGCTTTTCGCCAACACCATATAAACTTAAGAAAGCTTTCTTACATACTTGCTTACGTACTCCTTTTAAACAAACATGAAACAAAAAATTATTGGGTCTCTCAATACGTTTATTAACATTCTAAGATTTTCTCATTCTCTTAATGGTAGTTACTTCGATCATATTTTGTATGAGTCTTGTGAGTTTTTGTCGTCGAAGTCAGTAGTGTGTATTAGTATGAGCAAAATGAGGAGGGGTCAATGAACCGAGGCCGGTCTAGACAAGATTTAATAGGGTACTTAAAATAGGTGGAGCGAATTAACCAATTAAGATTGTACACAATGACTGGTCAAAATGACTAATTATAAACAATAATTGATTATAATTATCAATTACCCTAGAGTAATCTAAAATAGGGTGGGGAAATATATGATATTATTGCACGCAACATGAGGAGAAGCTATATAGAGTAGGGTACGGTAGGAAAAATGTGTATAAGAAGCCAAAACTTGCACACATCAATCAGAATTTCAAAATGAGTGCTATATTTCGAAACGTATTTTTGGGTGAACGTCGGTTTTACCTGAATCCATCGAACTCAAAATTTGTTTCTGTTTGTCTAGCACATGAATTGAATTTTGAACCGGTAGTGTTCATCAGTGGTAATAAACAAGATCGTGTTTTATTTAGTGAAACTGCGTGGTTAAACTTTCTATCATATAAAACTGTAATTGACAGTTTCATGGGAGGAAATTCTCAACAATCAATTAATGATGGTAAAATACAACTAGAGTT